CAGCCGAGGAATGGAACCACCTCCCCGGGTTGAATGCTACTCTAACTGATACTAACCTGTTTCGAAATTCCATCCTTATTTTAGCAGTGACCCATGACCTGTTGTTTCCCTTCGTTTGTTGTATATTTAATACTGTTGACTTGTTACTGTTTTACTATCCTTGTTTTCATGTATGTGCTCTCACCCTTTGTAATGCCTTCGGGCCCTGAGGGTACTTTCAATAAATAAATTAACCTCGACGAAGGAGAGCGTGCTGTCTATGTCACAAGAATATAAACGAAAAGCAACACAAAGAACCAACACGCTGGACGAGTGCCTCCCTCCTGTCTTCGTCTTTTTTTCTGTTGCTTCCCGTTTATTCTTAGAACATCCGCCCCCATGTTTTCTACAGTGCTGTGGAACACAACTTGTAAGACTAATTTAAAAGTTTTAAACCGCTCAAGAATCGCGCGGAAACGGAATTGGGGCGGCACGTAAAGTGTTCAACGCAGAACGTGGCTATTTATTAAAACGCCGTACTCCCGAGTGTAGGCATGCGGTGCCTTCTCCAATACTTCCTCCACCGAAGTACTTTCTTGCGAAAGATTCCGGTACTGCCTTATAATCAGATACGACCGACTAAATCGGCAATAAGGTGCAAAAAACAAAAAGAACGAAAAAAAAAATCTATTACAGTTTAGGAACGAGAACGCAATTGGAAAGTTAAGGCCACACCTGCTTCATTGAGAAAGCTGCCGGCAAGCGACCAAGAAAAGGACGCCGATTGTCGGTCCAGTCACGAGTACGACATCCGAAGCATCCCCACGAGAGACCTTGGCGCGGGCTGAATCATGTTCCACTATATGACTTCAGAGGCCGCTGCTCCTTCGCGCGACGTGAAAGGGGGCCGAGTGATCCGCAGAATCTTGATCGACGAACACTCAACGGAGTTCTCATAGAAACGTGCGGACCTGCCCTGCGCTGGCCGGTCGCAGTTAAACTTCAGGAACACGGTCGTCCCGAGGCAGGTGAGCCCGACTTCACATGCAAGCAGGGACGCATAGCAAGATGACAACCTCGACTAAAAACGGCTACAGTCAGTCTTCATCCGGCATCTTCATCCGGAAACCGAAACAACGCCGGTGCCGGGAGGCACTCACTTGATCGAATGACGTTTTAGCGAACGCCCACGTTTCATCGAACGACACTTTAGCGAATAGTCGGACGCCACGAAGCGGCGTTTTCGGGTGGGCCAAGTGGGTTCACATTTTTGTAATGAGCTGCCGCAGACTGTCGCCGCGAAGCGGCGTAAAGCGCAGCGCGACGGATGGGTTAACGCGCGCCCCCGTTATTCGCTAAAACGTCCATTCGCTCAAATGTCGCCGTTCGCTAAAATGTCATTCGCTCATGTGATATGGACCCGCCGGTGCCTCGTTCAGTCGTTGTTCTGGCTGCTGGGGCGAAGATCGTCGACGGCCTCAAACTTTTTGGGTTACGCCGGGTTATTCAAATTAAGCTGCGTCGGAGTGCCAGCGGTCTTTGTTTCCGCCCCCTCGTCGTAACGGTCGAGGGGGTTTTGGAAGACGCTGTTGCATGCCGCGGGCACCGCGTAGAATCGCGTTGGAACCAACCTGGAAGCCACCGCCCTAGCGCACATCCGGCGTCATGCGGATCGGGAACAGGTACGCAGAAAAAACAAGCGTCCCTGTTTTTTCTGCCTCCCTCACCACGCCACCCCCGACACAGCACAAAACGCAACACTAAAACCTCCGGGCGCCGGCGCCCGACACGACGGCTCACCTTACGTTGACAGAGGCGGCGACGAAAACTCAATCCCGTCGGAATGCGTGAACCAGCTTCAGGTCGAGGTGACGGCACCGGTTTGAAAACGCTCGCTGGACCACGCTGAAGCTAAGGGCGCCGTTGCGAGTCCCCGCATGGGCACGGCGGGTGCTGACTGCGACAGCACGAGCACCTCGCCAATGGTTTCTGTTTGATGCCCTACGACGCCGTTGACCCTGATCAGTCCGCTCGTAGGACAGTCGGCTACTGTCAACGCAGAGTACAGCGCCAACGCAGTCTCACCTGACCAATTCCGCAAACTTCACCACACCGAAGCCAAAGTTCTTTCACACTTTGCCGCGCAGGTAACTTGGCTCGAGCGCCAGACAGCACCTGCGCCAAACCGGTTTCTGTCGGCTATGCTAGTGGCGCCCTCTCTGAGACCGTTCCCGGACCACTGTCGACCGCCCTGGGCGACCAGTGAAGAGAGGATTCCCGAAATGCTGGGATTCGGGGAAGGAGCCCACGGTTCACTAGCAACCAAGCGCATTCTCGTTGAATGGGAGAGACTGCGTCTGATCGCCAACCAGTGAAAGTGTCCCAAAAGTGGAAAAAGCTAAAACAAAACAAGAACTAAAACTTTTACCCGTGTCGGCAATTTGAACTTTTGCTGACCCCCCTGTCTCAAAAGGGGTTAGGTACCGCCAACTAACTAACTAACGCTAGACAGGCCGCTATAGTCAGTTACAGGTTAAGAAGGTAGCGGCAAATGCCTCTCAAAGGGAATCAGATATCCCTCCGCCACCTTTGCATCCAATAGCGTCCCACCGTTTCCGTGACGTCGCGGACAACGCGCGAGGAGGGTCTTGCCTTTCTGTACATATTTGCTTTATCTTTTTACTTCGACTTAGCATTGTGGAAGCCATGAGAGGGAGATTAGAGTTCTCCCCCACCGACGGAAACAAATACGACTTTCGGGGATTAGCTTCCCCCCCGATGGATACAAAGGCTGCTTTCAGGGGCTCGGTTCCCTCTCCGATGAATACAAAGGTCGCTTTCTTAAAAAGTGGGATCAAAGACAAGTGGGAATCCATTGAAGCGGAACAGGGAGCGTTTCCAGTGAACTCTTCTTTCGACTTCGGAGAGATTTGAAACGGGCGCATCACACTTGTGGGAGGAGCTTCTCCTACCTTCTTGACTTGTAACCGACTATAGACATGGTGAACCTGGAATCGGGGTTCACGGTTCACCGGTCACCGGGGTTCATTGTTGATCCTCGAGGAGGAGGTTGCAAAACAAACTCTTCTTGTACGACCATACGACCGACAACCCTGACAACATATGGTCAGGCTCAATGAGATTCAATGTGGAGTAGCAGAGCAGTATGTACGCGGAGCTCAAGTTCGTCTGCTTCTTGCGCAAGGGTTGTAGTGATGGCAGAACGCCGAGCTCTGATTGGAAGGATAGCGGGTAAACCTCGATGCTAGCTGCCTTGAGGTCTACCCGATATCCGTCCAACCGGAACCAATCAGAGCTAGGCGTTCTGACGTTACCGCAACCCCTGCGCAAGCAGACGACTTGCGCTCCGCATAGCGATGTTGGTGAAAAAGGAAGAGGCGATGTGTGTATGAGCTCATAGACCCGCCTGTCACCAAGTGTAGCAGCTAGTAGTAGCAGTGTGCACAATTTACTCGTTGGTGCTGACACTGCTGAGGAACACTACAGAGAAGCTACAGGTTCATCAGTGAGGTGAAGCCAACTTTGGGGGTATAACCTTATGAGCATTACTGTTCACGATAGCATCGAATGGCACCAACGTGCAGAACTGTGCTTTTCTTGGTGCTATCGTATACACTGCAGTGAAGCTAAGATTCCCGGGAAATGGGTAGTTTTAATGCAGGTGAAGCCCACGCTAGGGAGATCTCAAGCAATCTCAAACATAAAATAATAATAATTAAAAAAAAAAAAATTGAATTATGGTACTTGTACCAAAACTGTGCAGATTGGGCAGCCTTCCTATAGAGATTTGGTGTAGACAAGTTTAACTGGCTATATGAAATTTCTGAGGAATGTGATTTAATCATTGTAAAACACAGGTTTTCAACTCGATCGGTAATCACTACTATACCCGTTTTCACCTCAAGAAAAAAAGCAATTTTTTCGCATAGTTCATACGCGGAGGAAAAGCTATTGGTGTATGGAACGTGTACACCTTGATAAAATAACATATATCTTATCTAAAATTCACCTACATATGTCTTAATTATCAACATAAAGGGGGAAATCAGTAATGCTCCGCGTGGAGCCGGACTTTTTTTTACTACGGTTCTTGAGGTGAAAACGGGTATAGAGCGTCACTTTTTAACGGGGTGGAATATTGTTTCTAACCTAAGGAAAACCTTCCACTTCAATCTGGGAGTGCATTTTACCTGTTCTAAAGCACCGTCACCGAGTATTGATAGGCTATGCCCCCCCCCCCCCCCCCCCCCAAGTACCTGGCCAGTAATAAGAAAGATAATGGTAGATGAATCTCCAGATATTAAGAGAAAAAAGCCTCATATTACTGATGATATTTTGTTCTGCTCATTGCATGTTGTTCAACGTGAACATAACTGTTCATTCATGTGGTTCATTTCACATTCTTTTTGGCATCAAAATACACCTAAGTTTGTCTCTATTCAGATTGTGGATTTCTGGTAAAATTTCTCATCAAAGCTTTATTTTATTGCCATCATATGCACATTAAAATTTCAGCTTTTTTCCAGCAGAGTTATTATTTCTTTCCAATTTTTACCTAAATGCAGTTACTATGCTCGGGAGCTCCATAGATATCCCCTCTCAGTCACTTCGAGGTTCCCAAGGGTCATTATCCTCATATTTAACATTTTGAGGCCCACGTCTAAACAAATAGAAGAGTTACGGGTGCCCACGTGTTTGATCAGCAAAAGGCGCAAGTTGTACGAGTTGTGTGGTTCGCCAAGCATGAATCAATTATTACAGAGCAACACCCGTTTTGACACGCAATCCCCAACATGCGAGCCTGGAAATTTGGGAGTTCTTCAACACATTTTACCTGGCAGGTGGACAACACATGCCTCCAGCATCACTCCACAGGATTTTTTCTGATGGAGCTATGCCAAGGATGCAGTGTATAGCATGCAAGTTCCAGATATGCGGATTCTACAAACATGCATCGTGAATGCAATTAAAACTTTTTTTTTTTTTTAGGAACAAAGCTGTCGGTGAGTAGAAGTATGTTTTATTGCATACATAGTTACAACCACCACCTCTCCAAAACCTGGCTTTTTTTTTTTTTTTTTTTTTTTTTTTTTTTAAAGCTGCAAAGCTACAAAAATGCAAAAAAAAAAAAAAAAAAAAAACCAATATAGAAGTTGAAAACAACCTTTGGTTTCAATAACATCTTTCTTCTAAAAGCAGTCTTAAACACCTTGGTAGCCTGAGAACTGCAGGAATATTTTCCAAACCGTAGTCCAAAATAGCCAGAATTGGAAGCCTAAAACTCGTTAAAAAAAAAAGAACCTTGTGTGCATTCATTCCATTTACGAAGCTGACATCTTCTCAAGAGAGTAAAATGGAGCAGTCACTTTCTGGCGACCACCGAGTTCTTCTAGTTCCACTATCACCATGCATAGTGATACGGTGGCACCCACAGAGTGCAACAGGGAGGTGGTTGCTTGCATACTCCCTGAGAAACGGAGAAAGGAGACGAAAATAAATGACCCTTGCATTAAGCCTTGCAGGTAGCATACGAAAATGGCCCAATTCCAATCAAATGGTTAATATTTTCTACATCTCATCTTGACTACCTATTCAGTATCGGACAACCTCAGCACCAGAAAGCATGCTAAAAAAGAGGGTTACATATGATGACAATCGCAGTGTTTCTGGTAATGTCTTACAATAAATTATGTCAATTTGTTTGCAACACTACTATGATGGTAATGTAAACAGGTGCAACACTTTTCTGCAGGGGATATATTTTCTATCTAAAATAGCATATGCAAATAATTTCAAAAAAGGCGGAAGCTCTAGAAAACAAGCAGGAGTTTATGCACCAATTTGTCTTTGGTTATTAAATAAATGTGTTTCAAAGCAAAAAGAAGTCCCAAGATGAACCACATTGGACTATGAACCATTCCAGCCAATCTAAAAATCATGTCGTAACACTCACGGTGCTGGATTGTCTGGGGTGGTTTGTAGCGTCAGATAAGGTTCGTCTTAGTGTGAAAGGAGCGTAGTAAAGTGATGAAATGCAGCGAAAACAGTGCCAAAACAAAAATTGATGAAGAAAAAGCAAAGCAAGAGACAGATGCACCTGGGACTCACCTCCAGTGGCTAACAGATCGTCAACAATGACAACCTTGCGACCCTTGAGAAAGCCGTCTTCCTGGACTTCCAGTTTGTCCTTTGAAAATAAAGGGAGAACTCTTTCAAAGATGCGTTTAGAGACAGGTGTTCTCGTTCAGTGTTCAAATGGGCATTCAAGAATAAGAACCAGTAGCTGCAGTGCTTACTTCACCATATTCCAACGTGTAGGCCTGGCTCTTCACCGTGCCGGGGAGCTTGCCAGGTTTGCGCACAGGCACGAAAGCCACGTTGAGAGCCAGTGCGAGAGCAGGTGCAATGATGAAGCCTCGAGCCTCAATGCCCACAACTGCCGACACATCTGGCACGGAGCTTCGGACTTGCTCGGCAAGAACGTCGATCAACTTACGAAAAACGTCCGGATTGTGGAATATGGGAAGTACATCCCTTGGGAAGAAGAAAAACAAGAAAGATTACCGTCAAAAAGAATTCTTAATATTACCAGCATCTATGATTAAGCAGATTACTTCTCGGATTTCTTTCCCGACTTGTGACGGTAAGGTAAAAGTAGGTCATCCGGTGAAAATAAAAGGAAGTTTGGTAGATGTAAAAATGTAGGCGTGTGGTCCAAACTGTGCATCCAGAAGCACTTAGTTCATCGTTTGTTTGTGTCCTCTTCCAACCCTCTTTTTGAGATCCTACACACGTTATCAGTTGACGCTTCGCTCTTTGGCGAGTCCCCGCTTTGCCGAGACTAATACTTATCGGAATTATCTGTAAAGGCGCGACCGCGGAGAGCTTCCCACAATTTAGGCTTACAAACATCTACCAAAGAAAACACAAACGACTCAATTCTTGCAGCCGATTCCACACCCCGCAGCCCGAACGACAAGCTCGGACGTGCAGTATGACTGGTGAGACTTACCGAAAGAGGATACCTTTCTTGGGGAAATCTTTGAATGAGCGTATCGCACGGCGTATATCTTCCACTCTGGGATCCATCTCTTTCAGGCGCAAGTCCAGAGGTACTGGCCGTCACAGAGTAAAGCCGACAAAGATTCTAAAACCTAATTCAAAAGACTATGGCGAGTTTAAACTTTCCGGGCACTTCCTAAAACCCGAATCTTCGTACCCCAGAGAAGAAAGTGTTCAGAGAGAGAGAAAGTGCAACCTCACACCCCACGGAGAGGGAGATGGGAGATGGCGCGATCGACGAAAGAGCGAGCGAGCGATCCAGCCAGCTCAGTGAACGACTTGGATTGGATTCGGACGGCTGTCGTTTAAATCTATGTTCAAACCGTTCAAACCCAACCCAAATCGGCTGGAATCAGCGGTAGGTTAGCAGCTCCTTGTTCTCAAAGAAAGATTACACAATCGAATCTGACCATAAAATATTAAAGGGCAAATATTCCATATGTAAAGATATATGTGGTATCATCAACATTGTTTTATGGATCTTGTTTTTCCAGTGAAACATCTCGACTCGAGCTGCTTCGTGTGTCAAAATGCGTGAACTTTTGAAATGGAGTAGCTTTTTTATTGTGCTATTCTTTTTCCACCAGAAAAGCTACACTCGGAAGAGAGGCATCTAGTGTGGAATCTTGTTAGTTCAAACTCTTAAAGGGCCCCTGCAATCATATTTAAGCGTCTACCTTTTTTGCGGTTTCCCCGTCTCTTGGAGTTCAGGCAAGCCAACGAGGCAAGCCAGCGGCCATGGAGAGAGTAACTAAATATCCGGACGACGCGGAAACCTCCTCCACCTACGGGGGCGACCCACGGTGCCGAAAATGTGCGAAATGTGAAGTCTTTGGTCCTGGGCTTACTGCTAGTCAGAGCCGCGAAAAGCTTCTTTTTAGTCGAAATACAAAAATTAAGTGGCGCGAACCGTTTCAATTATTTATAAAAGTAGTTTTTGTTCAGTATTTTAGTTTGGAAAATGCAGTTTATAAAGTATGGAAACAAGAAATGACCCGTCGACACACCCGCCACCAAACGGTGGAAAAGGCGGCGCATACAAGAAAGGTGTAGTGGGATCAGGCACCGACGAGCGGCGAACATGGAAAGATCCTGAATGTATGCGGCGGTGCTGCGGTCGTACGCGGGCTGCGTATAGACCTTTCCAGCGGCAGTCTCGAACGAAGCGATTTACAGCGCGTGTCCCTGGTTTTGAGAGTGTGCGTCAGAGTTGCCCGACTGCGCTGAGCTGTGGAGTTTCTCGTCAGTAGGCTGTGGCAGCCTGCGTTGGGCGCAATTCCGGACGCTGGTGGCGGCTGAATTGCCGCGTTTTCTTTTTTATCTTGTGTTCTGTGCCGAGCATAATTTATAGATGTCTTTAAGAAAGCAGTTCTCTGTTTTTAGGAACAAAAACAAAAAAATGAAAGCTGTTTTGGTGAGTCCGTGCGCGACAGAACAAATGCAACTGGAATGTTTGTTTCATTTTATGTTCATTGTTTTACGGCACCGTTAATTCAGCCGTGTCAATCTATAAAGGTCAAAATATTTTTGACCACACAGGATATCCGTACTGCAGGGATATTCCCCGCCCACAACATAAAATTCAATGAATCTCATCAATCGAACAAAAAATGTATTGTACGTACCCCTCGGTGCCGCGTTATCCGAACAGGATTTGAGAAAGGTCTCAAATAACACAGCATGTCCAATATACAGTGTCGACGATAGTCACTTCACGACGATCGGACGGAATCTGGCGTGTTTTGGGGAACATGCAGAAGAGAGCTCCTTTTTTTGCACAGCTTCATAGCAAATGAACGAACGTGCTTATTGTGTCGCCACACCCCGGACCCGACCCTATCAGCTAGTTTTTGCGAAGACCCGGAACACAGCCTGGAAGGCTTTTTGGAGATTATCTCGACGGAAATAATCCTCCAAGAACGTCGAACTGCCTGCGTCGCGGGCTGCTTGACGTTCGCTCTCTTCGTTCGTTTCCTGCGAAAGCCGAGCAGGCTATGAGCCCTGGTATTCCCTGGTTCTCACTGTGGAAGATAACATACAAAGGGTAAGCATCCTAAACAGGCGAATAAAATAAAAACTTCCAAGAAAAGCCGGCGAACTCCGAATGCAGAATGCAGGTGGGGGTCACGCTGACCGGGTTTCCACAGCTCAGGTGGGTGCCAGAAATTTCTGGCTGATAGGGGTCGCTCGATACACAAAATGGCGGCGGCCAGAGCGCTCTTTTTGGAAAGGTCTATACACCTTTTCCGTCTAACCTCGACCCAGCGCGTAACGTGCGTAGCCTCGACTCGGCGACTCGGCGCACAGCGGGAATAGTTCTTCCGGTTCTAACACTTCCGGTATGCGGGAGCAGGCCTAGCCGGCTGGCAAGATGCTGAAGTGGTGCGCGTTAAATGGGTTTTGAAGCCCTTGACAGCAAAGTGAGTTGTAATAACGTGGGTTATACGTCGATGTATCATGTCCGCGCATATTTGGTCATCGGGCTGCCACTGCGCAGTCGTTGGCTGCAGCAGCAATTTCCGAAAACGGAAGATAGCGCGCGACGAATTGTGCACCGAACACAAGAAGCCGCAAAGCGAATGCGGCTGTAACGTATACATTTTGCATCGCTTCCCCGCTGATATCAGCGGGGAAGCTCTGCAATATCAGCACATAAAAAAAAAAGCAAATAGGCAGTATAGAAACGGACATCTACAAGTGCAGTAACAGGCCTCGATAAGACAAATGCAGAACGAATTTTGCAGCTTGTGGTGCAAATGTAAGACCCTGGGTGTAATGATTGTTATTGTCTACTCATGTTTTGCTTTTCATTCCGTTCATTCCTACGAGGATGTGCACTATAATTTTGTGTGTTGCTCGGTAGCGACGCCCGTTAAAGTACGTTAATGGAAACAATACAAAAAGAGGGCGCAAAATCGTCGTCGTCCTCCCCCCCCCCCCCCCCCCCCCCTTTCACCCCCATCTCCTGAATAGTTCCGAAGCATCTGGGCGTCATACGAAGTAGAGATGTCCCGGTACTAGCGATCGTACCTCGACGGTGCACCATAACAATAAACCGTTCGGCCCGCGTCGCCAACTCCCATTGTGAGTATTTCTACGATTAAACGATGATACTTCTATGCCCAGGGTCGCCCTCGCTCGCGCATAGAAACCCTCCGTTAGTCATTCGCAGAAGGCAGTCATTCTTCACAAACAACAACACGCGAAGAGTAAACACTGGTAAACGTCCTCAGGAAAAGTGAACATGCCTCCGATTTCGATTACCGGCGACGCTGGCGACGAACCTCTCGGTGCTGCTGGCGCAACAACGGGCGCCATGAGGGCGAATAAACACGCCAGAACACAAGAGTAATTCACACTTTCAATAACAAACAAATTAAGAACTCACTAAAAGGAAAACAATGAAGATACGATGCACGGGGTCAATGGGGACAACGCGGGAGCTAGGAACAACGCTGCTCTCCGCATACCAAAATGGGCGCACAACAACCGTACGCCAGACGCCAGACGGCGCGGCTGTCGCTGCAACACGCAAGATGGCGACGACTACGCGGAAAAGGTGTATAAGCAAACCATATCCCGTACAGCACCTGACCACGCCCCCTTGTCACGTGACATGACGTCACTTCCGCTAAGGCAATTTGTCATGTCACGTGACCTGACGTCACTTCCGCTCCAAACCGAAACCAGTTGTTTTATTGGTTAGCGAATTGTCACGTGACATGACGTCACTCGCGCCGCTGTGGCAAGGTAAACATGGCGCCCGCCGTCGCCTGAAGCACGAAGCCTACACGGTTGATCATCGGTGCAGTCGCGGCTGAAGCCAGAAACGCTTGAGACGGGAAGCCTACGCGATCGACGCAGTCGCGGCTGAGACGCTGTGAACGCGGTGACGCGAGGGACTCAACACTTGGTGACGCAACTACGCGACGACCGCAGTATGCGACGTCTCGCATCGTGCTTCTGCACAGGAGTGCGTAAAAGGCGCAAGTACTTCTCTTAGCGTTCTCAACTCGTCGCTTGATAAGAGCGAAGCAAGGTTACTACCAACGCCTACCGCTGGTTTCCGAAGTCGAGCCTTCGGTTTCCAACGTCGGGTCTCGATGTCGCCGCTATTCTTGCCGCGCAGGTTCGTCGCCGACGCGGCGGATGTGAACCATGTCATGCATGAACGCTTGCCTTTTTCGATACGAAAATATGCTCTGTTGTCACGAACGCTTACGCCGACCCACAAGCTGAATTTGAAGTATTGCCAGCATTTTTATTTCGCTTGTACGTTGTCATCGCATCACCGTTACTCGCGGCGACGCAGATCTTCGTGCTTGCCTTCTAGCGGTGCCGCGGCTCTCCCGACCCAAAATAAAAAAAAGCTGCTCTACGCTCGAACCGCAAATTGGGGAAGTGGTAAAGAAATTAGCTTAGTACCGTCAGAAACACTCGTATGACGATAGGCATGCTCAGTGGAACTATGAAGAGAAAAAACAAGAATGCATACTTTGAACTCGAAAAGTTTTTATTTCACCACATTAAATATATCGCTGCAATGCAGTGCTGGTTTCAAAGAATGCTATTTCCTCAGTCCCTTGCAATATGGCAAGTTCACACTGAAAAGCAACAGTTTACATATACATTAAAAGAAGTTCGCGAATGGAAATAATAGTTTCTCTCGAGACCTAGGGTAAAGCAAATGGGCATGTCGCCTCAAACGTATAAGGCACATGAAAGCTGTAATTTTGGAAGCTACTATAGCTTATTCATGTAAACGCAGCTTTACACACTTGCAACAGCTTATGACCAGTGGCTGACCAGTCAGTCACAAGAGGCTTAAAATCGGTTTGAAGTCATTCCCTTCGTAAGCAGTTGCAGGTGAGTGAAACAGCCTTAACTTGTGACACCTTGCGCTGTAAACACCAATTGTAAACAATGAATAAACCTCTTCTGTTCTTACTTAATTTGCACCATGTCGGAATTCTACATCACACTTGTGTGCATGTGAAATTGTGTGTGCATGTGACAAAATGTGAAATTGAGCCCGAAACTGACACACGTTGGCAACTGGTCACCGGCTCACACTCGACAAGTGCTTCCGGAGAGTCTGTGCCCAACTACATTGCTGTGCTGCGTCGTGTCGCTCAGTACTTCGAGTAGACAAAATTTTCGTACAAGTTCTGTGACCGGTTAGTTTGTAGGGTGAGTGAGGAAGCCATTTAGCGACACCTCGCCACACCAGATCTCGCTTTCGCTAGGGCTCAACAACTTGCGATTGCTGCGGAGTGTGCCACAAACGGAAAACCCCACATTTCCGGGCTCCAGAGACGGCAGAGGTTCGCCACATGGACAAACACCACCTACACAAGGCATGAAA